AAGAAATTATTTTCGTTGTTATTGGAGTAAGAAGATAAGAGGGAGAGGATCTGTAAAATACAGTCAAAATTTAGGAACAGAATCATCTCAGATCTGAAAACTATACCACAGAATCCATTCCAAAAAACAGGTTATAAAATAGATTCTTTCTTCCTAATTATGTTTCACATCCTAACACAACCAACCACAGTCCATGCGGAACATTTGGTTCTTTGTGGAGTGTGTGTGTGTGTCCACATGTGTGGTTTGTTTTTCTCAAGTCACCTGTTGTAAAAGAATCAAGGAGTGCCCTGGTCAGTTTTCTAAGTGGTTAGAGCATCAGCCTGCAGAGCAGAGGGTCATGAGTTCGATTCCCTGTCAAGAGCATGTACCTCGGTTGTGGGTTTGATCCCTGTCTCTCTCACATCAATATTTTTCTCCCTACTCCTCCCTTTCTTCACTTTGTCTGAAAATTAATTAAAAAATATCTTCCAGTGAAGATAAAAAAAAGAATCAAGAAGTAATGAATGAAATTTTTTCAATATTTATCCATTCTTTTGGGCAGTTTAATTACCCTCGTCTTAACGAAAATGAGAACGATTGCAGGATAAGACTTGGCTTACATTGCTCAAATAATATAATTAACTGTCTTTATTGAGCCTTTTTCATTCTGAGAAATGCTTCACAATAAAATATAATACCAGATGCTGACCTCTGGAAAGGTCCAATGTGGCCTCAGGACTAGTGTGACCAGGCCAGGCCATATGTTTGGTTTTATTAATATATCTGTCCTGAAGAGTGAAACTTTATGACTGTGTAACCCCATGAAGGGACTGAAAATTGTTTTCTACCCTCATAATCTTGACAAAATAGGAACTGGCTGTGCTTTTCATTTTTAACCATTCCATATTGTTTATCTGCCTCCTGTAGAAGTTACAACCCAAAGGTTGAACTCTTGTGTAATTTGGTTAAAATCTTGTTTACTGAACATTCAAAAGGAATATTATGTAATGACACTTTCCTTTGCATTCCAATCTAAAAATGCATATTATTGGATCTATTCTGCAAATGGACTCCAGCTATATAAGCTTATTTAGTTTCTCTCCAGTTTAAAACATAACAAACAAACAAAAAAAACTCTACCCTGTTCCACAGCCCTAAAATTGCTTCATGAGAAAAAAAAAATCTTTAAAGAGCATATTCAATTTTTCATCTTCCTGTTCCTTAACCAACACAACCACAAGATAATATATAACCCGAAACCATGAAATAAAAACATTCTCAAAAAATAAAAAAATAAACTTTGTATTAAATCATCTGGGCTCTCAGAGCATAAAGAAATTAGCTACCTGCCACCTGTGTTTAATATAGATGCCCAAGAGCAACTGTATATTTCTCATTCCTTTTATGCTATTATTTTATCCTTTGTACCTCTTGTCATTTTAAATTCTCATTGCAATAAGAAGAAAAATGCCCAAGGAAGTTTTTGCCAGTATCTCAAAAGAAATTCTGTTGCACCCCTAGTTTTCTGTTTCATGCTCTGATACATATGGTCATATGTATTTCTCCTTCAGGAACAGAGCAGAACATTTTAGGGCTCAGATTTCTCCAAAGGAAGTAAGGTGATTTGGGCAAAATGAACATGAATACTGAAAGTCAAGGTGTTACAAATGTCAGAAACCACAGTGGGGGCTAGCCACAGAACAATGATTTAAAGGAGGGATGGGAAAGAATCATTGAAATAGAAGCCTCGAAACCTGACTTTTACGTTTACACCTAAAGATATATACTCAGCTTTTAGAGGCTAGTCCCAAACATTTATCATTTTCTTCTTTTTTGTTGCTTCACTCTTCTCTGACTGTTGCTACATTCCATCTTCATCCAGTCATCTCCTCGGTCACCTGGCTAATTCTAGCCCCTGGTTTTCAATTCAATATGACTGCCTGGCAATTTTCCACCTACTCTGTGCTAAGGCTACAGCAGGGAAAGGAAGAAAATCTCTGCCCTCAAGGAGCTGACATTCTAGTGGGAGGAAAAAAACAATAAACAAAGTGAATAATTAAAATACAGGCTATTAGTGGATGATATGAAGATGCTAGCAGTCAAATTTTTTTGCCCTGCAAAAATGGCAACATCATTCTGTTGCCGGAAAAGGGACCCGGCCCTGAGTGTGTCTACCTAGGGCCAGCCTGTAGTGTGTAGGAAAGATGTCACAACACGAGTCCAGGTGAATTTGAGAGTATGTTCATTAAAGCTGGGGACAGTGGGACAAGGAAAGGCCTAGGATAGAAGAAACTGCAGGAGACAGCCAAGGCAGGGATGCTTCGGCTCACTGAGACATCAGAGAAAAGGGGGCCTTGAGGGCAGGTTCAGGGGGTGAGCACAGGATGAGCTGCCACTGCTCGTTGCTCCCTTGGTTGCAAGTTTCCTGGGAACCCTTGGCGTTTAGGATACTGCCTGCGGGGGAAGAAGAGAGGGGAAGGAAAGGCACAGGTGCGCTCAAGCCCAGGGGGAGGAGCGCATGCTGGGTCCTTTGTTTTGAGGGTTTTTATCTCTCTCTTGCAGGCCACATTCTTTTTTTTTTCATACTATTTTGTTTATTTGGCTGATTACACATTCAAGACTTGTTCAAGAGCATCATTAATCACAGGGTATTAGGAACCAAAGACAATGACATCACTGACAAAATACAAATATGTGCTAAAAAAATTCAAGGTGGACATTTTCCTTTTTTTTCTTATTTATTTGTTTGTTTGTTTGTTTGTTTGTTTATGTTAATCCTCTTAGCAGAGGTCTTAGGGGAGGGTTTCAGCAGAATATTCATCAGTTTCCTGCCCTGGTGTTGATCACTGGGTTTTGCTGCTTTTCTGGGAGGTGACCTTCTGTATCCGGCTGTAAATTGCTCAGCAGGTTTGTTCCACTCTCTGTCTCAGTTTCCCCATTCTACTTGCCAAGGAATTTTCCTAGCTTCATACGATCCTGCCTCAATATGAGTCAAACTACATATTAAATGGTGATGAATAATATTTTTTAAATGAAGCAGGGCAGAACAGGTAGTAGGATTAATGGGGGAGCAAGGGCAAAGAAGATTACGACTTAAAATAGGGCAACCTGTCTCCAGGTGGTGTAATTATGCCAAGTATTTACATCAAGCAGGAATATAAGATACAGATCATATTAATACAGTCTTACTCACATGCTATAAAATTAGGTTAAAAAATACATGTGGTGTAAAACATTTAATTATATATGTCTAACTCTAGACCATTAATTTTTTAAAATATATTTTTACTGATTTCAGAGAGGAAGGGAGAGAGGATAGAAACATCAGTGGTGAGAAAGAATCATTGACCAGCTGCCTCTTGCATGCCCCCTGCTGGGGATCGAGCCTGCAACCCAGGCATGTGCCCTTGACTGGAATCAAACCCAGTACCCTTCAGTCCTCAGGCTGATGCTCTATCCATTGAGCCAAACTGGCTAGGGCTAGGCCATTAATTAAAAAAAAAAAAAGAAACAAACTCTATTTTAATGAGCATAGTAGAAATACAATTTATGTTACATTTTAAATATATACTTTATCAAAGAAGAAAGTAAGAAAACAATTTCCATCTAACACCATGCTTTTTCATATTTAAATTGTTGGTGAACTTCAAAAATGTGGAGAGAGAGGTGAATTACTCACAAAATGTACTGTTTGAGACAGCTTAATGACAAAATAAACTAATGCATGGCTTAAACATCAACACAGCAAAAATGGTATTACCACAAATTTGTACATAAATTCCATAAAAATTAGGACACTAGTAAGATTCATTATTAATTTAACATTGAACATGGATGGAAATGACTGACCTAGCTCAATAATCTAACAGTTTCTATGTGCCTGTTCTCCAAAAGAATTCTCTAAACCAACACTGTCCAACAGAACTTTCTGCAATGATGGAAATGTACTGACTTGTCCAATAAGATAACCAGTAACCACATATGGCTAGTGAGCATTAGGAATGTGGCGAATGCAACAGAAAAACAGAATCTCAAATTTTATTTAAAGAGGCTAGTGGTTACTTATCCAGATATCACAGCTCTAAGTCCTGCCTCTTATGTCATTTTTATAGTCTTCCATTCACCTGGTTTCCCAATGTAGACAATTTAGGTTTTAGTTCTCACTCTAGATCTACATTTCTGTCCTTCTGGCCTCAAATTTTCTTCCTGAGCTGGTGCATAGCTAGCTGATTTCAGCAAAGCTGCTGGCCACTGCTGCTCAGCTCACAAACACTGGCTGGCAGAGCACTGGTCTCTTTCCACTTGTCCATGATGAGAAGTGGGATACAAATGCTTTTTTAAAAAAGTGAACAGACAACCAAAAGTCCTGTAAGACTTATTAGACTTACCCAAAGGGAAGAGATTAAATCCAGTGATTAAACAAAAGCCACTTCTAAACCTAAAATTCTGTTATTCCAAACCCCAAATTCCAGGTAGACAGGCAAATGACAATTTCCAAAATTATATGGTACTTACCGAATAAGCCCAGTACCCTAAACCTCACAGAAATCAACTCCCAACTCAAAGCATCCCAAAGGCATTATTAAGAATAACAGACACAGCCAATCCTCTGAGTCATTGAGCAAAAGGGTAGCTTTCTCTTAAGAAGGAAATTTTAATACTAAAAGTATTATTTTCACAATTTGTTGTCATTCATAGAAACTTAGGTCACACGTATTTTTATGCAAAATACTGGAGTAGGTCTTGCCCTCCATATTACATTCTCAAATCTGTTCTGACTTCAATTTCAAATGGATATCCATTTCCTGTTACTTGCCAGACTTAATACTTACAATAGATATCATATTAATAGATATAACAGATATTATATTAATAGATATACTAGTTTTAAATGTAGTATTTAACTGATATAGGAAGATGAAGTAAAATACAGTAAGAAAACAAAACTTCATAGAAGGATAACAAGGTAGATTCAATGGGTATCGGACAAAAGTGAGTGCAGCTCAACAAAGACTTACTGGTTTAGCACGACATCAAGAATAAATGATGTTCCAAAGGCATCGACCTGGAAGCTTGCCTGGTTAACATGAGTCAACTGCAATATTAAAAAGATAAAAGGTATTTATTATTCAGCATAGTGATCAGATGATAAGCATTTCTTAGATCACTTTTTAAAAGGTGTATGGTATCCTAATTTAGAAAACAACAATTCAACATGGACATCAAATAAAAACAAAGTAAAATGTGCCCTTCTTAGAAGCCCAGCATTCACCAGTCTGAAGTAAAGTACCACCTAACCAAGGAGGGTCAGTGCCCTACCTTTCCACTTTATCTCAAGTAGCTACACATTGAAGACCGAACTTTCTTCAGTTTTTTTCTATATTAAATGACTGGCTCCTTTAAAATTAAGCCTTGTACATTAAAAATAGAACAAAATATGTTCAAGAGTAAGATAATATGGTGAATATGATCTAAAAATACTTTTCATCCTGTCACAAATACAAACTTTAAAAATATTTCAGTTCTAATTATCCAGAGGGGGAAAAAAACATTATCCAGAGAAATAAATAAATAATTAATTAAAATTCTTTCCAATTAAGCAAACATAATTTCATAGAGGTTTCCCTATCTTCCTAAGAGCAAAACTGAACCTCTGCACATCTACTGCAAATATCGCCTACCAAAATTTTCTTGGAAAAATGAAATCACTATTTCCAACACCATTCTTGGAACTCCCAGAGAAAATCATAAGGGATTCTAAACTAAACAATATAGAGAGTTACCAAGAACATAATTTCAACATGTTGAATAATCATGTGCATTAATTGAAAAGAGGGAGGAAGCAAAACTGCTCCTTCTGTTTGACTCCCCAAATACTAAGAATACCTATATCTCAGTAGAACTATGAATTTTTGAAATTTTTATTTGTATGTTTCTATAGTATCCAAAATTCCTAAAATAAACATGTATAATTCCTGCAGTGAGAAAAAGCAAACACTATTTTAGAGATAAAAACCATCTGAGCAACTGCACTCATGTAGCACATGAAACAGATGGTGAACCAGTGCATCATAGGAAGGGGCGTCCCAGGATTCTGTGAGGCATGAAGGGCACCTGAACCACCCCTGGGATTTTCACACACAGTGAGCTTATGGCATTAGATGAAAGGAGAGCACTTAATGATAATAAAGCTTTACAAAAAGAAATGGTAACTCTTCTGTTTCAAATTATTTAAAAGTAATAGGGGGTGGAACAATGCAATAGCTCAATTTCAAACATATTCCAATCCTCATGAAACCCCAAGGATGAAGAACTATCTGGTTACCTTTCAGCCTCATTAACTTCATTAACCCTTCATTCTTCCCAATAACACTGAGCTATCATCAAACTCTCACCTCTTTCTTATTTTTATGGCCATTCTTGGAGCCACACCTTATTCTCTATTTCCACATCTGCCTCTACAGATCATATCTTCCTTGCTCTTTTTAAAATTAACTCCTTACCAAAATCCCAAATGTAAGCCCCAGATTTTCAAATCCCAAATGCAAGCCCCAGAAGATTCAATTACAAACCTTCTCTCCCTGAATATCAAGATCTTCCACAGTCACCTCCACCACCCCAGATATAATGGCACCCAAGTTCCCAAGAATCCACCCACACCGCCTCCACACTGGTCTCCTTTCTGCTCTTTAATTCCACAAGCGAGGTATGTTCCAACTTTTTATGTGACTTTCACTCATCACTTCCGCTGAGTGCTTTTCTGAACCAGGCCCTGATCTCTCCCAATATCATTTCCCAAAATGGCCCTATCCATCCTTCTAGACTTTGATCAAGTTCCTCCTTGTATTAGTCTGCCAAGGGCTACCATAGCAGAGGACCACAGACTAGGAGGCTTACACAACAGAAATTTTCTTTCTCAGAGTCCTGGAGGCTGTGATAACCTGGTTATTATTTAACAGGAAAGGAGGAAAGGGAAGACTAGGCATAGGCAGGCCATTTGTGCAGCTTTGTCAAAAAGCTGCATTTAACACTCTCCAAATCTGTTCCCCACTGATCGATGGGGATAGGGACTGGACAAAGGCAGTTTAGACGCATGCCCAGTAAGTTCTGAGTGACGTGAGAAGATGCCTACCTGTCTGCTCATCAATCACACCTGAAAGCCAGTCAGTGGCCAAGATGGGTGTGATCACTGCAAGAGTGCAAAACCTGAATATTTAAACTTCCAAACAACGAAGTTTTCTCTCTCTCCTCTCTCTCCTCTCTCTCTCTCTCTCTCTCTCTCTCTCTCTCTCTCTCTCTCTCTCCCTCCTCTCTCTCTCTTGTGCACTGGGTTCCTGACTCCCCTGTGGCAGGAGGGTGTGCTCCCCTGTGACCACATGTCACAGGCCCGTGTCGGACTCCACACATGGACAAGTAGACTTAGCTTGGATCCTGAGCCACACCCGGGGCACATGGACCGGAAGCTCTGGACACTGGCCTGTTCTGGCTCTGCTGGAACCCAGCTGCACCTTTTCCAGACTGGCTTAAGGGGCAGGAGACTTTAAGGGACCCTGAGAAATGTAACTTTAGACAAATAAAACCTGTTTCCACACATTTTCTAAGATGTCACAAGAACCTCACTCCCACGAGTGACCGGGAAGTTTAATTCTCTGGTAACAGCTAGAAGTCCAAGATTAAAGGGCATAACTATCGTTTTCTCTTCTCTCTCTCTCTCTCTCTCTCTCTCTCTCTCTCTCTCTCTCTGTCTCTCTCAGTGTGTGTGTGTGTGTGTGTGTGTGTGTGTGTGTGTGTGCGCGCCTGTTCTTATAAGGCAGCGGTTCTCAACCTCTGGGTCGCGACCCCTTTGGGGGGTCGAACGACCCTTTCACAGGGGTCGCCTAAGACCATCAGAAAACACATATATAATTACATATTGTTTTTGTGATTAATCACTATGCTTTAATTATGTTCAATTTGTAACAATGAAAATACATCCTGCATATCAGATATTTACATTACGATTCATAACAGTAGCAAAATTACAGTTATGAAGTAGCAACGAAAACAATTTTATGGTTGGGGGTCACCACAACATGAGGAACTGTATTAAAGGGTCACGGCATTAGGAAGGTTGAGAACCACTGTAAGGGCACCAGTCACATTGGATTAAGGCCCACACTTGTGACCTGAAGAAAAGGCTGCATGCCAAGGAATGCTGTAAGCCTCTATAAACTGGAAACAGCAAGGAATGATTCTCTCCTAGAGCCTCTGGAAGGGGCACAGTCCTGCCAAGACTTTTATCTTAGCCTTTAAGATCCATTTTGGGCTTTTGATCTCCAGAACTTTAAGACAATTATTTTTTGTTGGTTTATTGACAGCATGTTTAACTGCTACTTGCCCTTAATTACCTCTTTAAAAGCTCTATCTCCATATACAGTCACCTTAGAGGTTAGGGCCTTGACATATACATTTTGGAAGGGACACCGTTCAGCCCAAACACTCCTCTTCCACAAGGTCATCCCAGTGTCTTCCCACCTCTGTCTTCCCTCCTCCTCAATACGGTTCAGTTTGATATCAGGGCCTCAGGACTGACCAGCATCAGGTATTCAATAAGTATTTCCTGACTAATTGATTTGAGTGTTTGCTTTATCAATCACCTGGATGCATAAATGAACAACAATTGAACAGCTATAAATTACTTGCATATAAAATGCAGTCCTTCCATCAGGGTTGTTCCTAATGCCATGTCAATGGACAATGCCTTCCCTTTTGTATGAAAACTCTTTGAGTTTCCTGAAGTGCCATGTTTTGGGAATAGACCGAGGAAAGCTCTTATGTATTTTGCTTACCAGAATTGATGTCTCAACTAAAAAGAACCTCTCACTCTCTCCTCCATTTTTTCTCTGAATTTATTATGGTGAACAGGGCAGAGGCCACATGTTATTCATCATGGTATCATGATTACAGCTTGGATCAGGATAACATTACCATCCTTTTTCAGCAAGATATTTACTGTTTGCATTAATTCTGTCTAATTCTTATATTTTTCTTATGTTACATCTGGTATTTTATTTTATTGATCTCACCCATGCATATCCTAAGGAGAAATCCATTACTAAACTCAAAAGAAAATCTATTGACAGCAAGTTTAACTGCTGTTTAGTAAAAAAAAAAATGCAATAGGAGTGTATTAATATAGTTTTCATGTAAAAAAGGCTTCCTTAGACTGTATTCAGATTGATTCAGTCAACAAACATATTCTGAGAGTCTCTCATATTTACTACTTTAGGTTATCTGAAATAATAAATTAAATAGAGTTACCCCGAATTCATGCAGTACTAACAATCTAGCTTATTATTCAACACTACTGAAGTGAGCCAGGACGGCCATCAGAAAGTTCATCTTAGACCGTGCCTTTTAAATGTAAAGGAAAAGAAAATGAAGGTTTGAGAAGATAGAACTAGTATAATATCAGGATTTTCCTTTGGGGAGAGGTGCCTAACATATATAGCCAAAGAAAAATTCTAATATTTATTAACTTTAACTTGAAGATTAAAAGCTAAGTGTCTCTCAGAAATATTTGAAAAATATAAATTGAAATGCAGTCTTTCCAATGACTACATAGGCATGATTTGTTATTTTAAAACTATTCATCAAACACTTTCGTATCATATCATCATATTGAGAGAACCCCTAGAAGGCATATGATACAACAGCCTTATTTTACAAATAAGGAAACGGAGGGAAGGAAGTGTGGGCCAATGTCCTTCCAAGGTCACACTCCTTGGAAGCAGAGCAGGCGTTTCGCCTCCTGGCAGGCCGTTTCTCATGCTTCATCCTTGCTTCTATTCTGCAGCTCAGAGGAGCTTGCAGGTTTCTTAGAGTCATGAAAATGCATTTTAAAGCGCATAAAAAATTAAACAATGAAAAACAATCTTTAGGACTCTGTTTTAATGAAAAAAAAATCAATAATGTCACCACATCTGACACATGTTCTAAGGCCAATTTGATTACCACCTTAGAAATGACAAATAATGGTTTAAAATATAAATGCAAATCTATTTTTAAAGGAAAAAACTGCATGTTTATGGTAAAATGTGTGTGCATTTGTACATC